AACTTTCTTGTTCATTAACCAGGCAACCACCAGCCCCAGAGAGGAAGGCGACTCTTGGCATCTGTGTGTACTGGTGTTCTGTGCTTTCCCCAGCGTGACTTTCTCCTTACCCTGTCGTTTCTTTGGAGTGAGTCCACTTTCCTCCTCCTCCCACGCCATGGCCCGCTTCTGGGTTTTCCATCATTTACTTTACATTTAGTTCCAGGCAAAATGTGTTAGTGTCAGCCCTTTGGGATGTCCTTTCTGTGTCAGTCATCCTTAGTCCTTAATCACAGCATCCCGTGACATCTTCGTGACCTGTTTAGATTTCACTTTACAGAAGCTTTACTGCTCCCTGCTGTTTCTGTGTTTCTTTTCTTCCCCTATTGTGAACTCTCTGTTCTGAGTGAGTTTTCATTTCCTGCACTCAGCTGTGGCTTTTGTCATACTGACTCTTCCTTCTGGTGTTTATTTGTATCTGAGCCCTTCAAAGTGAGAACATATAGAGGGAGCATAATTAGGAAGGAAGCTCACTGTGGGCAAGTGTGTAGAAGGCCTCTGGCCACTCTTTCCTGATCAGCTAACCTTAATTTCTTTTCTCGGAAAAAACCTGTGGGAGCCCCCCAGCCACGGCTCTGGCCCCCACTGCCCTTCTCTGGTGCCCTGTTTTGCCACCCCCTGCAGTGGGCTGCTGGGCTCAGGGGATGACAGCCAGTGCCCTGGCCTCCCATTGGAAGGAGCACCTCTTCCCAATTTGCCCCCAAGGCAGCCCTGCAGCCTGGCAGCTCTGCATCACTGTGAGGGTCTCAGCCCCTCTTTTCCAGCCCCCGCCTGTATTTCTGAGTCTTTCTGGAGAACTGAGAGGTGTGTGTGCTCCCTTCAGGAGCCAGGATGTGTCAAGGACATTGGTTGAAGGAACAGGGAAAGAGGGTGCTGGGCAGGAACCCACTGAATATAAAGGCAGGTAAGCAGACCTGACTGGTACCTGGAGGAACGGGCAGCTCAGAGCTCCACGGTGTTCCTGGAAATCCGAGGCCCTTGTCCACAGACCGCTGGCACCTGCCCCACCCTGTCCTCCATGGCAAGAGATGGAGGCATGGGCTGGATGAACTCATACAATGATGGACGCCTTCCTTTAAACCACACGGCGTGCTGTCTGGTCTGTGACTGAGCAATGGTGCTTCTCAGGGAAGGGGACCAAGACTCAAAGAGTCAGTCATGTGCTCACATCCCGTGGGTCCTCAGTGCCCAGGCAGTGCCCACAGACAACTGACGTGCCATCGGACTCCTGGTCCCAGGCCTGTTGACCGCTTCATGCTCTCCCTCAGATCCCAGCCCCTGGTCTGTGTGGATAGACCGATAACTGTTATCTGTTTGGGGCTCTGTGTTCAGTGGGCTTTGGGAAGCTACCTGAGGCCAGGTAGCCTTAGTTCTTGTCCTCCGTCACTTCCATATGCACCCGGAGGACTTCACACACCTGAGTTCGGATCCCCTCTCCCCAGAGCAGACCGAGCAGGGCGTCTCTCCAACAGGGTCTCAAATGCTTACTCCTGTTATGTGGGGACAGCCCTGGGCACTGCGATGCCCACTTCAGGTGCGTGAGCACCCCAGCTGGGCACCAGACTCAGGTGTACCTTTGCCACCACTTAGATCAGAGAAGGCAGGTACGGAGCAGGGCAAGCAGAGCCACCTGGGAAAGAAGGGACAGTTCAGAGCCCCTTTCCTGCCCGCCACCTCTGGGTACAGAGTTGAGCTTTGTCTCTGGCAATAAACAAGCAGGTGAGGCTCCAGAGCCTGGAGCTTAGCAAGGCGGGGGAGGGGGCTGCCCACAGGCTTTTCCGGGTCCCAAGCATTTCCGCTGGTCCTGAGGTGACTAGGAGGCACCAGATGAAAGGGAGGTGGGAGCTGGGAAGAGGGAACAAAACGTGTTTGCTAGCTGGGATTGGAGCAGGTTTGTTCAAAGAGCGGGGAGTTTGGGGGCGCTGGTTGCTTAGGAAGCTGGAAACCAGGTGGAGTTGGGTGAGCCAAGGTCTCATTAAAGTATTTTCAACTGCAGTGACCCCATCAGGTTGGTTTAAAAACAGCTCTGCTAGCAGGATGGAGACCAAATTACAGAGACAGAAAATCACGGCAGAGAGGCACCCAGGTTAAGAGCTCCTGCGAGGAGGAGGTGGGCAGGGGCTGAGTGGAGCACCCCCTCCCCCCGCCAGGTGTCTGCCTGTCTCCTCTACAGAAGTTTACTGAGCACCCGCTGTATGCGATTGTGAGATGGGAACACAAAGGTGGGTGAAACAGATGTGCCCCAAATGGTCAGGAAGAGAAATTGCCCTTAGGATTTCAACACAGGAGGAGCAGGTTACTTGGTGTGGAAGGCTGGGGAACAGAATGGGTGCTGAGGTTACAGAGAGAGGAATAACTGCAGAGAGCTCTCAACTCCCAGAGCTGGGGAACGGGAGGAGGAGGTGGAAACGTGCAGGAAACCCGCAGGTCCCTTGTTGCCCCGCTGGCTGGCCAGGCGCCCTCTGATGCCCCCTACAGGCAGAGCCCACCTGCACCCCGGGCACAGGAGCCCAGGAAGCTCCCAGGCTCTGCAGCCCTGCAGCCGCAGCCTGCAGTGAAAAGGATGAAGACACACCCTGCCCTAAGTAAACACACACTGATGGTGGGGAAGAGAGGGGATACATCAAGCGCCACTTGTGGGATTCTCACTGGGGAGGCTGAGGAGTCAAAGGATCCCTGGGAAAGAAGTCCAGGCTGGAGTCCAGGACGGTTGGGGCAACTTGCCCCCGAAAGGCGACCCGGAGCCTAGCGCAGAGGCAGGTGCATCCTTTGACCTTGACACAGCCTCCGGTGTGTGGCAGCCTCGGGTCACTTGCAGCTCCACCCCTCCTCAAATGCTTGCTCTCTTTCCTGGTGGGATGGTGCCTTGAATTGGAAAGTATTTTGGTGTCTGCATGTCTTTAGTTTTCCTTGAGATTGTCATTGATTTTTTTCTAATTTCTGATAGAGGCTAATGGAAACTATTTCCTGATTAGACCTGAGGGCATTTGCCCTCACCCTACCTCTCAGCTCTGTGCAGCAGGCATCTGGACTAACGGCCTCCAAGGCAGCAGATGACAGACGCACATCTGCCCTGCTCTCAGCTAGTGATTGCCTGTTTCGGACAATTAAACACACGCATCCGTGGGTCGGCCCAGCCAGAGAGGCGAGGAGTGTGCCCTGTGTGTTGGGGAGGCTATGGGAGCCATTTTCCTGCGATTTACACCTTTAGACACGGCCACCGGCCTTTCTCTGTCAACCTAGAGTGCACTCATTTCACAGCACCTGACCCCATTCAGAATCGTCACCTCACCCTACCGGTGCAAAAGTGCTTCACGTCCTGGCCTCTGCCAGCTGCAGCCCACCTTACCCCTGCTGCCGGAAGGCCTCTCCTACACGCAGCTCCAGTTCGCCTGCTCCCAGCTCCAACACCCTTACTGGCTCCCCAGTGCCCCAGAATTAAGAATTGACCCCCAGAGCCTTTTCTATTTGCTTTTCTTAAACACATCCATCCCTGGCTCACCTGTTTTGGAGCCTCAGTCTCCCTGCGTGCCCTCTTGATGAAATCCCACCAATCTTTCAAGACCTGTTCAGATGCCTTCTTCATCAAGGCTTTGGGGACTGCAGGCTCACACCATGCTTGGAGACCTTATTGTTTTCTAAAGGAGCTGTCCTTGCTTGTGTGGGGTGATTCTGGGTCCCTTCTTCCCTCAGCACACAGACACACACATACACAGACACACACACACACACATATACACGTGCATACACACACATGTACATACACATATACACACAAATATACATGCACGTATACACATACACATATACACATGCATACACACAGACACATATACACACATGCAGATACATACACATACCCATACAGACACTTGCGTATACATACATATACACATAGAGAAACATGTACAGACACACATAAACATATATACACACATATACATATACACACACATACAGACACACACACTCAACCTTCCTCTCCTTACTTCACCTGCCATGTGCAGGTAGGGCCCCTGGCCAGGAGCCCTTTGCAGCATGAGTCTTTGTGCCATGTAGACTCTCATAGGGCAGGGTTGACTGCAGCTGGAGCAATGTCTCAGGCATCTCCATGTCACGGGGGACCTCTGGACAGCAGAGACATGGAGGTGGAAAGAAGCAGGTGGTTATTAGTACTTCAGAAATGGAAAACTAGGCAGAAATGGGTTTCATTTTGTTAAAGTGATTTCACCTCACTGTTAAAGCACCATCTCAGTGTTCAAGGTTGGCCCATAGAAGGTTCTGGAACTCATGAAGTTGTCTCTCTTTCCTCAGAGCAGTGTTTTCCAAACTGTGAAATCCCGAGAACTGCACAATATTAATAGAGGCTATGTGTCCAAAGGGCCCATTTTGAAATATTTGAGAAAGGCTGGGTTAAAGCATTGAACAGCTAAGTGAGTATTTCAGTGCAGGCCTTCTCAGAGCCTTGAACACACAAATGCATGTTACAGGACTCCACGAAGGGAGTATGTGGCATTTTCCACAGATTCACCGCAGGAATTCCAGGGTGGCGGGGGCACATCTCGAGAGCAGGGTCTAGTGTTTTCTCATGAACACACTTTGGCAAGTGCCGTCTTAAACCACGGACATCAGGCAGCCTTCCGACAGCAGTCGTTGAGTACTGTCTTCAGAGGGGCCAAGTGGGGCAGTAGGGACAGCATTCAAGACTTCCCAGACCGTATTTTTTCTTTAAAAACAGGCATTCTGTATAACATCGTGGGCAGCAAAGCTTAATGAGGCTTCTGAGGCAGGGCGTTCCTCCTGGAGCCTTCGTTTTGAAGCGTGTGCTTAGCAGTCGTGGCTTGACTATTGAAATTACAGGCATTCCAAACTGATCATTAACACTTGCATGTAATTAGCTTAATGAGACACAAGCCATACAAGATGTTCCAGATAACTCTGTGGTTGTCTCTGTTTTCCAGTTCCTTCCACAGAGATTGCATCCCGCCAACCCCGCCTGCGTGACTCCCCACGGCACCGTTCTCCACCAGACCCTGGATTTCGACGAATTCATCCCCCCACTCCCGCCTCCACCCTACTATCCCCCAGAGTACACCTGCACACCCTCGGCTGACGCCCAGAGGTTGGTGTCCCAGTGCTGCCCCCATCTTGAAGCCACCGAGATTAGCAGCAGCGTCTGGGAGGTGGGAGTGGCAGTGGTCCTGCAGGCATGGCACTGCGAACAGGGAAGGGGCAGTGGAAGGAGAGGCCTTAGACTTGACTGTTCCCCATGGCACCTTCGCGACGCAGCCCAAAAGAAACCAGAGGCAGATGGGAGTTGCTGCCTTATGTGCTCATGGTGGGCAAAGCTGCCATCAAGTTACAGTCATTCGGGTTACATGTAAAGTTGAATGAAAGACTTCATCAGCTGTATGATTATTTGAATTTTAATGGACAGGTTGGTAGAGTTTCTTGAAAATGTTGATGTTGTTCTAAAACAAAGGTGCACATCACCCAGTGAGTGAAGCTTTGATTTCACCATGATGGGAAGTCTTAGGAGAGGGAAAACCCTGGCCGCCCCTGCTCGGGCTGCTTTGAGAGCTGCCAGCCCTTCCTCCTCATTCCCCAGGCAGTGACGATGTGATGCTTCTGCCTTTTCAGGGGCCTCCACCTGGACTTTACTCCGTCTCCATTCAGCACTTTGTATGACGTGGCCATCAACAGCCCCGGCCTGCTCTATCCTGCTGAGCTCCCCCCTCCGTACGAGGCGGTGGTGGGCCAGCCCCCTGCCAGCCAGGTGAGGCCCAGGGCCCCAGATAAGTCCAGTTTCTGTGGGAACGCTGGGGACTCTGTCCCGGCCGGCCCTCAGGAGGCACCGCACACTGTGCCAGGTCCGAGTGGCTGTGGAGTGACCACCCTCGAGTGCCCTGCGCCGAGACCCCCTGAGGCATTTGTCTGTCTCGAAGTGTTGCAGCAAACCTGTGGGATGTTGGTCTTTTTTTTGTTTTTGTTTTGGTTTTGGTTTTTTGACAGAGGTTTGCTCTGTCGCCAGGCTGGAGTGCAGTGCCACAGTCTCGGCTCACTGCAACCTCTACCTCCCAGGTTCAAGCGATACCCCTGCCTTAGCCTCCCGAGTAGCTGGGATTATAGGCACCTGCCTCCACGCCTGGCTAGTTTTTTGTATTTTAGTGGAGATGGGGTTTCAGCACGTGGGCCAGGATGGTCTTGATCTCTTGACCTCATGATCTACCCACCTCGGCCTCCCAAAGTGCTGGGATTACAAGCGTGAGCCAACGCACCTGGCCAGGATGTTGGTCTCATTAGCCCTGTGCTATAGATGAGGCCACAGGCTCGGAGAGCAGCACCTGCAGAGACGCCAGCCCGGGTCTGGGGCACCCAGTGTCGGTGCTTGTCCCCTTGTCTCCCCCATTCTGTTTCTGCAGCCATGAGTCACAGTCCAGGTGTGTCTGAGCTTCATGCTGGTGGGTGTTCTAGGATGCAGGCAGAAGGACCTGGGACAGCTCCTGACCCGAGGGCAGAGCCCACAGGAGCAGAGCTGGGTCCATGGACCGAGTATCCAGGGCACTCCGGCCAGCCTTGATCACATGCTGCCATCAGCGCCCTTTGGGGAGGGGAGGAAGCTGCCCTGGGTCCCTGCTGTATCTGAGGCTGAGACGCTTCGGGCCAGGGAAGTGCCTCCACGGCCAGTGCTTCTGTGCGTGCCAGGCACTCCCACAGCCTCTCAGTGCCTGACATGGGACAGGCTGTATGTTCATGAAGCCCTGGTCTCCTCCTCTGTAAAATGGGCATCATCATAGTACCAAGGTCATGGGACCAAATGGGAAGTTGTCTGAATGGAGCCAACAGGACCTAGAGCATAGTAAGTACTGAGCTCAGCAGACGTCAGCCACCCTTTTTGGGGATTGTCCTCCTCCTCCTCCTCCTCGTCGTCATTGTCATTACTCAGTTTGAAATGCTGCTAGCCAGGGCAGAGCAATGGGGACATCTGGAAAGGTCACGTGGCCCACAGTGCAAGGGATCCTCCAAGGACCCACCCTCCAAGGAATGTGCGGTTATGTAAATAGACCAAATCGACAGTTCACTGGCGTCCTTGAGATACAGGGAGAGAAAGCAAGCGATTGGAAAACATATTTTAGGATATCATCTGTGAACATTCCCCAGTCCTGCTAGAGAGGTCAATAGTCCAGTTTAGGAAATGCAGAGAACTCCCGTGACGGGTGGTCAGGGCGGTCCTGGAGGCCTCGGGGACCGGGGCGTGGCTGGGACACAGCAGCAAGTTGGAGCAGAGGGCACGGGCAGGGGAGCCAAGGAGGTTCACCAGGGAGGAGCAGAGGGAGGGGCTGAAGCCAATTCTGAGCCCCAGGCAGCAAGCAGAGGAGAGCGGGTGACAGCATGACTCAAAGCATCCAGGCGCCCCCAGAAGTGCTCACTGTGGGCTTCTCAGCAGCCATGGAGCCCTAGACGGTTCTCTCTGCCCAGATCACCGGCCAGGCAGTGGTACGGGGCATCGGATCAGGCCTGGACGGCTGCCCGCTGTCTCTGCTGACTCTTGTAAAGCCACCCTAGCACAGGGCTCAGGCCTTTTGATGTCACCCCCAACGTTGTCCCTGTCACGTTGAGATCCCAAGGGCCCCCGTGCACGCAGGCCAGGTGGCAATGCTGGTCCCTTTGCCAACCAGGGACCAAGGCAGTGCTGACCCTGAGGAGCCTCTGTGGGTGGAACAGCAGTTTCCATGGTGGCTGAATAAGCTCATGAGCCCTGTTGACAGTCACACCCACAAGGACGGGTCACCTTAGCAGGCCGGGTGGTCTTAGGACAGGAAGAGACACAGCCTCCATGTGCGCTGTGGAAATATGGAGAGTGCGTTCAGACACGGTAAGGCGCCATGCACCTGGGGAGTCACATATGTGGTAAGGACCCCCTTTGGAGTGGCTTGTGGTGAGCCCCCAGTGCCCCCTCGCACAGCAGACAGTGCCCCTGGAATGCCTGGCGTGGCTGGGCAGCTGCAGACGGCGGTCCCTGCACCCCGGCCGGGACTCCCTTCTTCCTGTGGGTTCTAGAAGCACACGTGTGGGAGCTACCTGTGGGGAGGAATCCTTTCGTGAGGAGGCGGGCATGGCCCTGAAATCCATTCCCGAACCTGCAGTCATGGAGATGTTCTTAGACGTTTTTATAAAGCTGAGCCAGGACCCCTGCCTTCCCGGTGTTACTTAGCTTTCTGTGTATAGTAACAATAATTCAAATCAGTGTTATTCGTGGGGACGGTTGGCTATGATAACGGTTATCATCAGCGCTGCGAGGGGAGCCCGGTGCACGTGGGGCACCTGTCATGGTGTCAGGCCCAATTTAGGGGTCCAGGGAGGGTCTGGGAGGTCAGCCTGGGAAGTCAGGCTGGGCAGGCATCGGGCAGGCAAGGTGCAGGGAGTGGGGCTGGAAGGGCTCCTGAGAGAGGGAACAGCGTGTGCAAGGCTCAGAGGGAGGAAGGGCAGGCACAGCATATCCCCCAGACCGAGGGTCGTCCAGAAAGAGTCTCCGATGAGCGTGCTGGGTGGTGACCTGTCTGGGTGTGGTGAGTTGAATTCTGAGTGAGTGTGAACTACAGCAAGATGACGGGAGCTGTAGTTCATAGGAGCCTGTTAGCTGCTACTGTCACTGCAGCCTGGGAAATGGGAGAGAGGGACCCCCACAGAATGGCACGATTGCAGGTGCTGGGAGAAAGGCACCCCCACACTCGGTAGGCTGCAGGTTACCACGCAGGCTCCCAGGAGCCTGAATTTGCCACAACCAGCAGTTCCGGAAGGAAGAGATGGGCCAGGTGCTTTCTAGAAGCTGACCCTCAGGGCCATGTGGCTCACCATGGAGGGGCTGCCGGTGACCTTGGCAGAGCAGCTTTGATGGGATGGAGGGCAGGGCCAGACCACAGCAGGTGAAGGAGTGGACGGCACATCGGCAGGGCAGTGCAGGCGTGGCCGAGGTTCTCAGATGCAAGCAGGTGCCCCCCCCGGGGAACTTGTTCATCAAACCCTCATGGTTGGGCTCACCCCCGGGGTTTCTGAGTCAGTCACTGGGGTGTTGGGGTGGGTTGAGGGCTAAGGGTGTGCTGCCTATCAAAGCCTCAGCCCTGCTGGCCCGAGGATACGCTGGAGAGCAGGAGTAGGGCACTCTTGCAGGAAGTTCAGTAAAGAGAGAAGAGGGGATAGTGATTAGAGGGGAGTGTGGATCTAGGACCTTGAGGAGGTCACCAGGCAGACATGGAAGGACCTAGAGGGCGAGGGCAGCAGGCCCAGGACAGGGCCCTCCATGAGGGAAGTCCCTGGGAAGGTGGAGGGGTGGCTGACCGAGGGTGCAGATGGGCAGCTCCATGCTGTAGCCAGCAGGGGCACTGGGCAGGGTGGCGGGTGGACCGGGAAGTCCCTGAAGGCCTCAGGGGTGTGTGGTTCCCCACGGCTGCCTTGTGGCGAGGGAGCGCCTCTGTCCTCTCCTCTGCCTCTGCTCAGCGACCCTGCCTGCTGCTGTCACAACTCCAGCTCCGCGCTGGGACTGGCCCCGCTTCCCCGCTCTCCCTTCAGCCCCTCGGAGCCCTCTGCCTCCCCACAACGGGAACCCCCATCCATGGAGCCCAGGCTCTGCTTCTCTAGGCCCCTGACTGCTGGAAGTCACTTCTGGACTTGGGTGTGACATTCCGTGCCTGACCGCACAGCGGCTCCGGGAAGGACATGGATCCCTGCTGTGTCACAGTTGGACTGTTTTCTCTGAAGAGTTGAATCTATGGGAAGGGATCGCGCTGGTCATGAAGCCCACGCGAAACCCCTCTCTCAAACTCTGGGGAATTCTCTCAGTTGAGATTTCGTTCTCAGAACTGCAGTGAGCAGAGCTGTGAGGTCAGAGGCTGATCTCGGATTAGCATGGGTTGGCTCGGAGACCCCCAGCTCCCAGCGCTGGCAGGGGCACAGCATGACCACCTGCACAGCCTATTCCTGGGCGCCCGCCTGGCAGCAGGGCAGCATCTGGTGATTAAGGGGCCGCTGCAGCCCTCGGGCCCACTTTGTTTGACCCCCTGGTATGAGAGCACTTTTCAATTCACGGCCATGTCTGGGAGTCTGGAAGTCAACGAAGCCCATTACCGTCCACAGAGGGAAGGCCGTGCCGCCAGCTGCGCCACCAGCTGTCCCCTCCCTAGGCAGCAGGGCCCCCCAACTAGACAGAGAGGAACGCCCCTTCACATCACGACCCTGCACCCCTCTGAGGAGGGGTCAGTTGCTTCTCCTGTTAGGACAAATGGCGTAGAAATTGCCCTCAGCACTCATTTGGATAAAGATAGGAGGCTGCAGACTCCTTGGAGGCACAGCTGGCTCTGGGGTCTGGGGGTTGGGGGCGCGCTGGGGAAGAGGTTTAGCACAGGAGGGGTAGCCTCCCCGAGGATGGGCTGAGGAGCACTCGCCTGGGTGACGGGGTGCACACTTTCCTTCTGGCTTAGGTCAGATGCCGGATGAGAGTTGGATTGGGTCACACGCCATTCTCTTTCCTGTGGCTGTAGTCTTCAGCCAGTGTTGAAGGAGTGAGTTTCTTTTGTGTTGGAAATAGATGCTCGGAGCCACAAAGAAAAACCAGCACTGAGACAAAGGATCTTTCAGCATCGCAATTTTTATTTACTTCCTGGACTGCAGGAAGGGTACTCTCACAGACTCTCACTAGCCATCTTGCCATGAGAGTACAATGAGCAAAGGAAAAGCAGACAAATTTATTCCTTACGCACCTGGGGTCGTCCTGACTGCTGTGTCTGATCTCTGTTGGCTGGAGCCAGACCTCACAATGTAAACTAAAACCTGATTGGCTCCCAACTTAAAACTTTTCTGAACAGGTAAAAGCAGTGGAGAGCTGGGACACACCTGTGAGCACGTCCAGCACAGATATCCTGGTTAAAGCACAAGGACATAGAGTGTACTATGTGCCTGTAAGCATGGCGTGTTAACAGCTACATAGGATAGGGCTTCACAAAGTTATTAGCACACTTATTCTTTAACAAGAAAGGAAACTTTAAAAAGGAACTTTTTTACTTTCCACGTTGTGATAGCAGGAAAGTGACTAAGAACTTACTGGTTTGATCTTGTTGTCCTGGTGGCAAGTGTATGTTTCAGGGACCACTGACAACAGTGGGTATAGGACAGAATCCCTGTCACATCCCTCTCATGTAGTGACCCGACAAAGACAAACTTCTTTGAGGCTTTTGCAGAAGAACACGGCCTGGTGATCTGGGAGGGCTGGGGTGTGTGGAGGAGGGGGAGGTGGTGTGGGGGGCTGGGGTGTGTGGAGGAGGGGGAGGTGGTGTGGGGGGGCTGGAGTGTGTGGAGGACGGGGGGGTGGTGTAGGTGAAGGTCATAGCATCAGCTAAGGCTAACAGCAGGATGGCCTGGAGCCTGGCTGTGTGAGCTTCAGCTCACCAGGGCTGAAATTCTTTGGGCAGATATTTTATGACCTTGGATGTCAAACTATCGAAGTGCCTTTAAGGAGCTTGGCATGTTGCATGTGACCCAGTGGTGCTGTGGGAGTGTAATTTGGTGACAGCATGGCGGATGGAAGGGAACCCCAGAGCGAAACAGGAGTCGTGAGAAGGGAGGGGGCCAGCACAGCCTGAGAACTACAAGTTCTGATCTACAAAACATCTGTTAGCAAAGCGTGTTCAGAGTTCGCCTTGAGCCACCAGCCTAAAATTTAACTCACATTTTGCATGATTGCTGGAATTGACCCAAAAGAACAGCTTTTCATAAATCTGGTTCTAAATGGTTGACCTCACCCAGGAGTGGGAAACGCACTACAGAATTTCCATGCCGAGTGTCTTAGCCACAGAGCTTTGTACAAGGTGAATTATTTGTTGAAATGCCAATCGATTTTTCAATTACGATGACTGTTCAGAATAGCACATCGGCAAACCAGTAAGACTCAGGTGAAGTGATTCCCGAAGTGTCTCCTGTCCACAGTCCCCTCCCCACTCTCCTTCTGCAAAGAGCTGTGTTTATGTTTCCTCGCTGAACTCAAATTTCAACCTAAATTCTATGCCACAAATACATTTCTTCCCCACTCTTTTCTCCTGCCTTTATAGTTCATCAAAAATGCTGTATGAGAGGAACCGCTCTTTTCCCCGTGTCTTAGTGTGGCAAGGTGGCTTCTGACATCAGGGAAGGGCCATATTTAAATTAAACTCTTGACACTCTGCTGGTGAGAGGGGACAGATACGCTCCCAGGAACTGCCTCCTCTCAAAACTGAATATGAATTTGACCAGGAGCCAGAGAGAAGTGAGTGATGCTTATGCAAAATATGAAGCGAATCCAGTTTCCTCCTGAACTTATTCCACTGCGTGTTTTCTTTCTCTTGTTTTATTTATGTTTCTTTATTACCCGAAGGCTTCTTTTAGACATCGGAATTGTAAGTTACCACCCACCTACAATCCAAAAGAAAAGAAAGTGCAAGGGCAGGTTAGATGTGGGCAGGGAGGTACCAGATGAAACACACTGTTAGGGCATTGCTTTCTTCCCGTGATTCGGTGGAAGACTCTGGAGAGAGATTTCCAAAATCGGTTATTGGCACTTAATGACTTCAGTGGAAAGGCAAGTGAGCACTGGTGGTGAGGTGAAGTCTCCCTCCCCGACTCCCTCCCAGCAGAATGAGAGGGCTAAGGAAGAAAAACAGCATGGACTTCATCACTCAGAAGCGTCTTAGTGAGATCAAAGGACACACTTAGGCGGCTCTTCCTCTTCTCTTTGTCTCAAAACCCCCTCTGGAGCCCCGTGCCACAGGGGCAGCTCACACCCTTTGTGTGGGTGGGAAGGCTGCAGCCCCATCCCCCACCCCGGTGTCAGCCTGGTTGAAGAGGAGAGATGAAGGAGACCAGCTATCTGATTGAAGTGGCAGGGGATGAGGGAGGCAGACATGTAATTGCCTGAGCTGAAATCGGACGGAGCCGCAGGGGCCCCCCTCACCTTCCCAGTCTTCTCTGGAGCTCATTATTTGCAAGTGTATCCCCAAAGCAATTCTGAAATAACACAAGGATTGAAAACTTGTTTCCTGAGGTGGCATGGGGTGCCTGGCGGTGCCCACGTGACATGTGTATAGTGTGCATCGCATGTAAATGTCGAATCCGGAGACCCTAACGCAGGGATGGCACAGCTGTGCCCTCTGAGGTGGAAACCATGCCCCCCACAGAATGGGCAGAACGAAGATGGGGTAGAGAACAGAGGGGGTGTAGCCTTCCCCTCAGATTCTGAGGCCTCTCCAGGCAGAATCGAAGTCTGTCCCAGAAGAAAGCTGAAAAAAGCAGGGCGTGGTAGCTCATACCTATTCTCCCAGCTACTGGGAAGGATGAGGCTGGATTGCTTATGCCCAGGAGTTGGAGGCTACAGTGAGCTATGATTGCACCACTGCGCTCCAGCGTGGGCCATGGTGTGAGACTCTGTCTCTAAAATATATAAAGAAAAGAAAGAAAAATAGAAAGTCACAAAAGATCAACGTGCAACTGGACATCAGGATTCTGTGGCCCTGTTGGGCACACTGATTGCAAAAGTTCACAAAAATAGGCTTTGGGCCAGGTGTGGTGGCTTACACCTGTAATCCCAGCACTTTGGGAGGCTGAAGCTGGCTGATTGCCTAAGGTTAGGAGTTTGAGACCAGCCTGGCCAAGATGGCAAAACCCCATCTCTTCTAAAAATACAAAAAACTAGCTGGGCGCAGTGGCGGGTGCCTATAATCTTAGCTACTCGGGAGGCTGAGGCAGAAGAGTCGCATAAACCGGGGAAGCAGAGGTTGCAGTGAGTGGAGATCACGCCATTACACTCCAGCCTGGGCGACAAAGCAAGACTCCATTTCAGAAAAAAAAAAAAAGAGAAAAAGAAAACTAGGCTTTGGCCTCTGCAAGGGTGACTTGAACCCTCAGACCTTGCCTCATAAATATAGGGGAGAAGGGTTGAGCTGTGGGTGAGCTTTTTTCCTTTTGAGACATAGTCTTGCTCTGTCGCCAGGCAGGAGTGCAATGGTGCGATCTCAGCTCTCTGCAGCCTCCTGCCTCACCCTCCCAAGCAGCTGGGACTACAGGCACGCGCCACCATGCCCAGCTAATTTTTTGTATTTTCAGTAGACACAGGGTTTCACCATGTTGCCCAAGATGGTCTCGATCTCTTGACCTCGTGATCCACCCTCCTTGGCCTCCCAAAGTGCTGGGATTACAGGTGTGATCTACCGTGTCTGGCCCAGGAGACAAGTTTTAGTGCCTGCACTACCGTGTTGTGTTCCCACGATGACCCACCTTGACGCTTCCCATTTCTTACTGTAGGTTACAAGCATAGATCAGCAGGTGGCTGAGTCCAGCTCCGGGGACCCAAACACCAGTGCTGGCTTCAGCACTCCAGGTAATCTTCCCTCTTTCAGCTTCTGAAGTGGGTGTTCGTGTTTTCAAAGATGTCTCTTTTCCTCCTTATCCTATTTTCTTCTCCTCTTCTTCCTCCTCCCTCCATTCCTTATTAAGGGGCTGGAGTTTGCGACAGCCTTTCTCATTAAACACTCTCCATGTTCCCCACGTTTCTTCCTGTGCCTGCATCCTCTACAGTCGGCATCCTGGGAGACCTCCCGCGCTCTCTGGGGAGACCTCATCCCCTCTGCCCACTTTGTCACTTGAGGGGTATGGATTTGAAGAGCACAACTCCATCTAGGGTTGCCTTTCCAGAGCCAAAGTTGTACCTACCGGGTGAACGGCACCTCCCCCTGAAGAAGGTGGCTGGGCCGGGCAGCTGGAAGGGGGGCACAGGCAGGAAGTCATGTCCTGGAGGGCATTGAAGGACACGTGTGCAAGGGTCAGATCCCCAAACACACAGTGTGGGAGTCAAGTACAGAGCCCGGGCAGGGGATGTTGTCTAAGACTCTAAGAAAGCAGGAGGGCCCTTTGTAGCAAAGGCCGCAAGGACACAGAGGCCAGGCGAGCCCAGAGAGCCACCATCTGAGGCCTCTGTGAGGCGCCACGTGGGCTGGCTTATTTGGAGACCACAGTTAGATAACTCATTCGATCCCACAAAGGGCCAGGACGATAGTCCCAGGGTACTCTGTCCTCTCCCCAACGCTCACTCAACGTCTAAGAGAACCAGGAAGGGGCCGTCTTTCTGAGAGGCCACCTTGAGGTTGCAGAGCACAGCATCTTTGCAGTTGTGGGATTGGAAGTAATCTTGTCCTTCCCTTGGTCACTCCAAGCCATCAGAAGCTGTCCAAGAAGGTGTTCAGTGGCCTTCCCAGGGGCAACCCAGAGTACAGTGTGCTTCAGTCACTGTCACAGGGCGGCCACACCTGTGGCATATCAGGGTTTGGGCTGAGGGGGGCCAGTGCTACCAGGCCCCTTGCTCAGGGCAGGCTGAAATAGACAGGGGTGCTCCTTGCCCAGAATTCAGCAGGGCTGGATCCTCCTCCCTCCCAGGACCTGGGTGGTGAACTCTACGGCTGACTCCAGCACCAGCAGAGCTTCCAGCACCCAGGCTCATGCTGGGCTACAGAATCAGGACTCTACTGAGTAGAGGAGCACCTTGGTGGCCATGTGGCCCTCAACCTGGCTCTGTCTAAGCCCATTTCTGCAGCTATGGGATGGGGGTAAACTAGGGCTGCCTCACAGACAGGCAGTGAGGATGAAGTGGGAGGTGGCCTGAAAGGCCTGTCGCCCTGGGGAAAGCTCACAGACTCAAGGGAGAAAGGGGTGGCAGGAACAGACCTGAAGCCCCCACGCCTGGAGGAGTTGAGGCTGCCATGATCTCCAAAGTGCCCCCACGCAGGAGATTCACCTTGCAGTATCCACCCCAGCACTAGCAGGGGGTTCTGAGGGCACCTGGTGATTGGAGCGAGAGTGCAGGAGCATTTTCATGCTGTCTCGTGCATGCACACCCGGTGGAGATGGGTTTAAAACTGACTCCCATCCAGCCCTGGCAGGGTCCAGCCTTGGAGTTGTTCCTGGCAGGAGCCCAGCCCTGACCCACATCCCGGTCCGGAGCAGCAGTTCTTACAGTTTGGAGGGCATCAGAATTCCCTGGAGGGCTCGCTCCAACCCCAGTGGCTAGGCCCAGCACCAGGATCTCTGCTTCCATGGATCTGGGGTCCAGCTGAGGGTCTGCGTCCCAGATTGTTCCCAGGCAAGGCTGCTGCTGCTGCTGGCGGCCAGGCACCCACACCCTGAGAGTCAAGACCAGTGTCCTGTGGGCGGAGCTTGCCCACCTGCCTGCACTGCCCTGTCTGGCTGCACACCAGGCCTGGGGCTGCATCCCTGCATGGGCGGGCCAGATCTCAGGCCCACTAGGACCTGGCGGGGATGCCTTGATGTCTCCCAGAGGGGCTGTGTATCCCTGCACCAGCCCTGTTCACCCAGACCAAAGCGTCCTGTGACCAAAGCGTCTGATTTCTAACTTTTAATCTCTTATGTAGTGTGAAGGGTCTAAGCCCCCTACCCGTGCCATTCCTGGAATGATTTCTGGGAACTCACTTGGTGCCCCCAACTTTCAACAGCATAAAAGCGACGTCTGTCTTTTTTTTTAAGACGCGGTCTCACTCTTGTCCACCACGCTGGAGTGCAATGACGCGATCTCAGCTCAGTGCAACCTCGGCCTCCCGGGTTCAGGCGATTCTCCTGTCTCAGCCTCCCGAGTAGCTGGAACTACAGGCGCACGCCACCACACCCAGCTAATTTTTGTATTTTTAGCAGAGACGGGGTTTCACCATGTATCCCAGGCTGGTCTCAAACCCCTGACCTCAGATGATCCACCTGTCTCAGCCTCCCAAAGTGCTGGGATTATAGGCTCGAACCACTGTACCCAGCCATGTCAGTTTTATTCAGTGTTTCTGTACCCCCAGGGTTTCAGAGTTCATCTAGGTCTGGAGTTTGAGGGGAAGGCCCTGTCCCACATGAGCATCCCCTGAGGTCGCCCCCCCCTAATGCCATGTCCCTTCTCTTACAGTACCAGCTGACAGCACAAGCCTCCTGGTGTCTGAGGGCACCGCCACGCCAGGTTCCAGCCCATCCCCTGATGGCCCTGTAGGCACCCCAGCGCCCCCTGAACCTGCCCTTCACCCTGGCTGTGTGTCTCTGGAGGATCCTGGTATGGGCTCGCAGGTGCAGCCAGGTCCTGGGCATGTGTCCCGATCTACCAGCGACCCCACCTCGTGCACATCTGGCACAGCAGGTATGGCTGGCCAGGCTCACCCATGTCCTAAGAGTGTGGCCGGCTTTCCCTGGATGCTGCAGGTCTCAATGACCCCTGAGAGTGGAGTCCCGGCCCTGGGAGTCCTGTCTGGGGCCACACTGGGAATGTGGTCTTGATGGCCCCTGAGCCGGAGGTGGGAGGGGAGCAGCCTGTGGGCCCCTCTGCACCCCACCAGGTTTGTCACTCTGGCAGGGAAGGAAGGATTCAAGGGGCCCAGGGGCCAGTCCCAGACATTAGCTGTGAGTGCTGCACATGTGCTCCAGGGCCCAGAAAAGCCCTAGAGTCTGGCACAGGACAGATGACCCCCAGTGATAACTCTGGGTGGTGGGAGGGTTTCATCAGCTGGAACCGCCCCAGGCAGACGGGTACGTTCTCAGCAGCACTTCACAGGCACCTTGGCAGCAGTCTGCACACAGCCGAGTTTTCCGGAAATCGCCCCATGCGACTGTGCCCACGGGCAGTGCCCTGGAGTCTAGGGCCTGGCACCAGGTCCCTATGGCCAGCAGCCCAGGAATTTGCATTTCACACTAGCTCCCCCAGAGTCTTGGGCACCCTAGGATTGGAGACCTCACACCCAGTTCTCATTGCTGTGTTTTGAGAGGAGGCACAGTTTCTGCCAGTAAAGATTGGTGGGACTTTTTCATGACGTTGAAGTGCAGGAACTGCCGTGGGTCCCGGCCCAGTCTCCTTTCTGTGGTCTTGCCCAGCTGATTCTGACTGGAGCCCAGCCACACCAGGAAGAACCAAGTCCCTGAAAGGAACCAGGGCCCACAGTGGCCAGTTGCCTGGAGGTGCCCTCCTGGTGGAAACACCAGGTTTGGCACGTGTGGACTCCCTGGCTGCGGTCATGTCTGTATTCCCCCTCCTGCGTCCCACTGCCGGCTCACGGTGGGCGAGTCCTGTCCGAACGTTCTGAAACAGCCCCCCTCTGCTGGTTCTTCAGAGCTCCAGAGCCCCTCTGCACAGTAGGGCTGCGGGGGCCTTCAGCTCACATTCACTCACTGAGGTTTGGAGGAGGATGCCCTGTACTTGGAGGGGCTCATGGGTCCACTCTGTGGGCCCCTGATGGCTTTGTGTGGCCTGTCCCCCTCAGTGAAATTCACGCCTTGGCACCCACACACCTGTCTGATGCCTCTGTCCTCTCTTGGCTAGGCTGATCCGCACGCCCCAGGCACATGCCTTCCGGGGGCCCTGGAGCCCTTCAGGTATGGGTGGGTATTCCCATGAAGGGTGCAGGGCTTTTTTTGAGTCACTGGCCCATTGCACTGTGCCGGGGTGGGACCCAGGACACCACTGGACCCACGGCAGACCTGGCCAGCTGCAGGGCGGTTCCTGTCTGACCTGCCACTGGGCGGATGTCAGTTCAGCAGGTTTCTCCTGCTTGCTCGCCATCTAAAATACATGTCTTAGTCACAGACAGGTCATTATAGTTTTATCGGTAATTCCTCTTTCCCTTTCACGCGTTCACTGAATTCTCCTGCTGGTTAAGGCAATACCTCTTCATACAAGCCCTCGTGTAGCCAGGATTCTAGCTGAGGGGGCGGAAGGCGGGTCCCTGCCGGCTCCAGCGGCCTTTCCCCCAGGCCTCGCTCCTGGAGGCTGCAGCCCTGGAGGTTGACACCAGCTCAGCCCGGCTGAGAAGGGGAGGGGGATGCGGACAGCAGGCCGTGCCCAGAGCGCTGGCCCCAGGAACACAGAAACCCCAGCAGGAGGCTTGTCACGAGAGCAGTCATTTCTTTGCTTTGGCGCTGACCTCTTTAAGGCTGCCTTTTCTTTTGTTTCCAGTGAGTTTCAAATGGCATCCTTTCCCTTGATTTTTAGTTTCCATGTCTCGCTCTGCCACGGCTGCCTGTCGGGCCCAGCTTTCACTAGTGAGAGACCCAGATACCTCGAAAGTCGACCAACGGCCAGCACCAGAGGCCTTCCCGGCGGCCTCCAAAGAGCGGCCACGCTCTTTAGTGGACAGCAAGGCCTATACGGACGCCAGGGTTTTGGTGACTAAGTTTCTGGAACACTCACACTGTGCCCTTCCCACCGAGGCGCAGCACGTGGGGGGTGCCGTGCACGTGGCCGTCACCTCCGAGGAGCCCCCCGAGGAGGAGGCCGTCTTCAACGCCAGCGTTCTGGACCAGGTATGAAGGAGCCACAAGTCTGGCCGTGGACAGCAACGGGCCTGGTGCCACAGATGTTCTTTCCAGAAGCCGCTTGCCTGACAGAGGCTTCAGGCCCAGCTTGGCTGAGGACAAATCGGGGGGCGGGGGGACACCCAGGATCATCTGGGGGCAGCGAGGGCAGGAAACTGTTACTCCCTCTCTCCAGGGGAGCTGAGCAGTCGTTTCCTTGGGGATTGCATTTCCTACCTGGCCTGGTAATTTGGAAAGATTGCTCTCATGTCCACAGTGAACTCTATCTGGCGTGGAGGAGCTCGAACTGAGCAGCATTGCACGAATGTGAATACAGCAACAGGGGACACTCATGTCACCTAAAGACTCTAAGTATCTCCAACATCAGGGCCATCCAAAACAGGAGTCTCCCACCCCCAATTTAACTTAGTGTTCAGTGGACAGAGAGCGGCATCGAATCATGAGACATTTTCTCACGTGGTTCGACGGCTCTAGAATCAAATGTTCTTCATGCTCTGGCCTTTTTCATATGAAAGGAAATAGGGAGTTTTAGCACAGATGGCAGCCTGGGCCCAACTTTCTACCCCCAGGGCTACGGTACAAACGTCCAGTGAGGGCCCCTGCCACAGCCCGGCTACCCCAGGGGACAGGCCAGTGTTGTGAGGGTTGGAGGTACCCACCATCTCCCGGTCTCCTGGGCCTTGAGCTCAGCCTTCCTCTGTGGGCCTCCCTCTGTGGGGTGCCTTCCCTACCTCCTCCTGGGCCCCCTTTCTCCAGGCTCCTGTCCTGTCCCTGGAGCAGACCCTAGTTTGATCCATAACAATAAGCGCTGATTCCCAGCCCCTTTGGGGGTCTCCCTTGTATCTGAGCTCAGCTGATTGAGCTCGGTGGGTCCAGGTCTGGGGGAGAGAGGCCAGTTTCTCTGGAAAGTGGTCCCTCTTGATAAAGCAGGTCCCCGTGACCCAGAGCCACCCTCCTCCGGGCAGCAGACACTCTTGCGCAGGAGATCGTAAGCCACTGACAAACTCACACAAAAAGGAAGGCAGACCCCCACTGTGCTGCCTATGCAGAAGCAGGCACGCCCAGTCTGAGGGTGGCTTGAGCACCTTTGACTTTCTTGGCCCCCAGCCCCCTGTTTTCTGGTGACGTCAGTGGCAGCTGTTCCCAACAGTGGCCCTGGAACAGCGCTGTCCACGAGAACTTTCTGCAGTAATGGAAATGCCCGTTCAGGACCACTACCAACAGCTCCGGCAAACAAAGCAGCCTCGGGCCCGAGGTCTCCCCAGAGAGCCCGTGGGCCTGGCATGGGGATGCAGGGGACACCAGAGGGTGCCCACCACTGCTGGGGGCCGGGGCTCAGGCTGCTTTTTCCCTGGGCTCTGTGGGGCTTGTCCTGGAGCTCCCCCAATTCCCCAACGCCACTGGGGCCAGTGTGCTGGGAGCGACTGCGGGTGGAAGCTAGGCAGGCGGTGAGGTTCCAGCCCAGCTGCGCAGAGCCTTCCTCCAGCCCTTACCCCGCCCTGGGGCTGAGATGGAGGACTCCGCCAGCTGTGGTCGCTTGAGAAGGCTTCAGTTGCTTTAGAGAGCTGAAAACACGCAAACCAGGCCTTTCCATGACAACCTGCACTTTTCCAGGAGAAATGTACTAGAGATGAATTGATGAGCACTTTATTCAGACTATAAGACAGGAAATCTCTGATTTTCCTCAAGTGGGGGCTTCTGAATTCACACAAGGCAAGTCCCTTTGCAGGTGCAATTAATTGATGGATTTTCAAAATGGCTGCCCCGGAGCAGCGCCTCAGCCGCGCCCAACGCCCTGGCCTCCGCATCTCCACTGTCTCCGAGGTACGCTGGGGCCGCGCCGCATGGGTGTCACCTGCTTAGGGGGTCCACACAGCATTGTCCTTGGGCTGAGCCCTTGGGGGGGCCAGGGCCACAGTCCTCGGGCCTAGCTGCAGTTTCAGCGAGGCAACACCGCCCCTTCCCAGTGGACTCGGCTTCTGGCGTGTTTTCATCATGCAGCCAGGGCGGGGGCACCCTGGGCCACCCAACCTGGTGCTCGGTGTCCTTCCCTTCTCTGCAGCAGGGCCCGGACCCACCAGCCAGTGGGGCTTCTGCCCCAGCGGTGCCTCCCTACGGTCCCCACACTGGCACCCCCCCCACCCACCCAGTTCTGGGTTTGCGCTGGTGGCAGCTCTGTTTTGTGGATACGGAAACCGTACCCAACTTGATGCCACTGGGCTGGAACCCTCTGCCTCTTGGAAACGAGGCAGTCAGGGATGGGGTGGGGTGTCCCCCCTCAGCCCCGCTGCTCAGGGCCACTCATGGACTCTAGGAGGGTCCAGGCTCTGGGCATCCCAGGAAGAGAGAGGTGCTGGTAGACTAGGGAATGCGCTGGCAACTTGACCCAGCAGCTGTGGTGCCCGTGACCCTGGCTCCCTGGCATGTGGGTACCAGCAGCTACAGCAGCAAGAGCCCAAGCCCCAGGGTGCGTGTCGGCTCCCAGAAAAAGGGAAGGCTGAATTCCCCCCCTCCCTGCACGTCCTTCCCCCACTCCATTCATGCTCCCTGTCTGGGATTTTAAATAGGCTAACTGTGGCTGCTTTAGGGGTGACACTCTCCTTCTCCAGCTCAGCTGGGCCCTGGGCGTCCCCTGCCCTCCCAAGACCCAAAGGGGGCTGGGACCTGCTGTGACACCACCACTGACCCCAGCCTGGGGGCCATGAGGATGCTGAGGGGGGAGAACCTGGACCCCAGCTCTTTGAGATGCAAGGTTGGAGAGGGGGGAGCGTCATTTGCAAGGACCTCAGGCCTCCTTTGGGTGGAGCTGAGGATCCACAATTAAATGCTTACAACACACCAGGCCACAGGAAGCTCGTTTCACACAGACGCCTCTCCCCACCCCTGCTGACTCTCAGAGGCTGCTAAGGCAGAATTTATAGGAAATAGTTTTCAAGCCACCAGAGACCTGTTTGTACAAGTGGAAGGGTTGTATTTATTTAATGTACCTCAAGGTGTTTTAATAATGATCAGTGTTTTAATAAAAAGTATTTCTGGCCTCTGTGTCTCTGAGGTCTAACTGGGACAGAGGCAGGCTGAGAGCCTGTGTGTACCGCTGGCCAGGGGCAGGGTCCTGAGCGGGCCTTGCAGCAGCCAGCCAGGGAGCCTGAGACACCCACGCCACTCACGGTGCTTCCAGGAGCCTCGAGAGGCTCAGCTTTGGGGCAGAGTGGGGAAGGCAGGGCCTGGACACACACAGGCCCGCCCACGCTGGCCCTGGCAGCCCCTCCATGGATGCAGCCTCCAAGGGCTGCTGAGAGGAATGCAGGCCCGTAGCTCAAAGTTTTTCATGTAGGTTTTTAAAACCTGTGTAGGATGTGGTGGAAGTCCCCCCGGCATGTCCTCAGCTGTCCAGGGCTCTCCTTGCCAGGACCTGCTTCCTGGCCCTGTCGTTAAGAGGTTCCCCTTGGCCTGGGCCTCCTGAGTGGAGGCCCATTCCCTCCAGCTCTGACTCAGGCACCATTTCTATTCATTTCGCAAGGTTGTGGCCATCTCCAGCATTTCTTGCTTGTTGGCCATGTCAAGAATGTATTTGCTTTTCCTTCTTCGGCAAATTCAGAGCAAGCGCATAAACTTTTTAGCATATGCGCAGCTCACTATGACGGAGTCTCCTAGGAACAGCTTCCTCTGCCTCTACAATGTACAGCTAGTGCTCGACTTACGACCACGGTCGGGACCGTGGACCAGTCCTAACACGATTTGGTCGTAAGTTAAGTAGGCTATATGTACAGTTGAAATGGTGCACACAGAGATGGTAGTGCTGCCGGAAGCTGGTCCGCACTGTAGTATGCCCAGCTGGGCAATGTTTGTGCTGCCAGACGCGGAGCAGTCGTGGCTAGCGATTGTGTTCGTAAAGTCGAATGGTCGTAAGTTGCATAGGTGGTAAGTCGATCAATACCTGTATACTTTCTTGGAAGAGGGAGGCATGGAGCTGGGGTGTGCCTTGAAAGGCCGTCTCTTAAAGGCCCCTGATGGCTAAAGTCAGCTGAGGCAAGCCCTCGGCCCATGTCCTCCAGGCGGCCAGGTGATGAAAGTAAGTTTCTCCTTACTCTGCAGTTCCCCAAGAATCCCGGGCCCTGAAGGTGGTCAGTGCTCATAGCATGGCACGCATGCTCCTGTGGGCAGGCCAGAGAAGAGGGCTTCTCCCCATCCAAGGCCCTCAGCCTAACCCAGCTGGACCCCAGGCCCCCGCCGGTGACCAAAACCCATGCTTGCTACCTGGCACACCAGCTGATGCCAGAACGGTGGCCATGAAGAAAGGTAAGTGCTGGCAGAGCTGCCAGAATCGTCGCTAAACAGGCTGCAAAGGCCTCACAGGTGCAGAGAGGGTGCTGGACAGGGGGTCTGGCTTTCTGTTAAACACACACACCTCTCCAGGGGTCGTTCAAGTCGTAGTCTGAAGCAGCCCAGGGCTGTCTGGCTCCCTCATTCTGTTAGTGTTCTGCTGCCTGGTCTCCCCCCTGGGGCAAGTGGGTTGAGAACCTGGTGCTGACCCGGTGACCTGGCACCATTGCTGGCACCTCCCATTGCCCAGCTGACACGTGGTACCCAGAGTGCCCACCCTCCAACCTGATTAGTGACAGCTCCCGAGGCTCAGGGTCTAGGAGGGGCACAGAGCAGCTTCGGCCGCCACCACACAGCAGGCTTGCCGAGCCGCTTCCAGTCTGAGTGAAATGGCAGGCGGGTACCGGCCGCGGAGGGAACAGACCAGTCACACACACGGCTTTTCATCAGGACTTCAGGTTTATTATTAGTGATATGCACGAAGTCTTCCTACGGGCAGCTGCATGCAACACACGGCACTCCTCGAATACAGTCATCCTAAAGCTTTAGTTACTGCGTGGTAAGGCTTTTTAAGTCACAGTGTATTCTTCAAGGCCTGGGCCAGAAAAAGAGACTTCGGGACAAGATGACATCAGAGTACATGGGTCGCTAATGAACTGAGCTGGACTAGGTCTGACTTGATCTACACACACGCCACTACAGCTCAGGGCCGCCGCGCCACGCTAGCCGAGGGGTCTGTGCTCACGGCTGCCTTAGGCATGGCCGAGGTCGCGTTTTCTGGCATGGGTTTCGTTTCTTCGGGGGAGCATGTGCGTGGGTGAGTGTGTGTAGATCGATTTTAAAGAGGGGGCAGACACCTGGCCCTCGTCTCTGTGGGAGCCCTGCCCAAGAGAGACGATGGGAGAGGCAGGTGTGGTCACAGGTCACGTCAGAAAACCCTAGAGTCTGAAAACAGAGCCTGCCAAAATGAAAGTCCAAACAAACACAGTAATAGTATCTAAATAACTATGGAGTTTTCATGTTGTGACCATTATCCTTTATTTATAATCAATCACATGTCCCCACACTTTCATTACAAGTCATGTCCTGGAAGCTGGGCTGCCTGCGTTCCTGC